TTTTTTTTTTTTTTAGCAAGCTGAGCTATGTTCTTGAAGACTTTTGATGTAAGAAAAATGTTAGAATGAACTACTTCAGTTGTGCGGTGAAATTGATTGATATAGAAGCAGTGTACATTTAGATTCTCTGTCGGTTTTCTGAAAGGAAAAACTTCGAGCATTGTTCTCAAATGTTCAAATCTGACTTTAGGAAGAGTTATTTTTTCATTTTTTAAATATCTGCAATTCGACTTTCTGATTTGCAACACAGACTTCTTAATTTATGGAGGCCTCTGTTCTTTAAGTGCCTGAATCTTTATCTTTCTGTGCTTAGCTTTTCCATGGTAAACTGGAATTTCTTGACCTAGCAGACTTGCTGTCACATTAAATCCCAATAGCCTTTTTTGTCATAATTGACCAAAAACTAAAATAGAGTTGTCAAATCTATTTTGTGAGTGTGCAGAAGCTCCCAGACAAATATGTTAAAGAATTTGGGCACAGACTCTCCGATGTTGTAAGACTCACTGATCGTATTGGGGGAATTTGGCATGTGAGATTGGAGAAGGAGGAAGAGATAATTTGGCTTCATCATGGCTGGGAGAAGTTCTATGAAGACCACTCCATCAAATATGGCTACTTTGTACTCTTTAAATACAGAGGGAACTCAAACTTCAAAATCCATGTATTTGACATGACAGCCACCGAGGTTCACTATCCAGCACATAATAGTCGTAATTTTGAAGTAACGAACTATCATCCTGAGAATTCTATCCCTGAAAGGAAAGAGGAAAGTGATGACGATTCTCTTGTAATCCTAGATTCCCTCCCACCTAAACTAGTGGCATGCTCTGATCTTGAACAAATGAATTATCATCATGGGAATTCTATCCTTGAAAGGAAAGAGGAAAGTGATGACGATTCTCTTCTAATCCTAGATTCCCTCCCACCTAAACTAGTGGGATGCTCTTTGAGAAATCCTACTCCATGTCGAAGTGCGCTTGTGGCAAGACATGGTAAAGAAACCTTCATAGTCTGCCTTCAGCTGAATTTGCCAACATTCCAGTAAATTTTGTTCAGTATCTTATGTTTTACGAAATGATTAACTTATATGTAAATTGTTGAATTCTAGATAAAAGGGGAAAGAAGGCCGTGAATGCTGCAGGAATATCTACTCTTACATATCCTTCATTCACAGTCGAAATGAAGGCTAACCTGAAGCCACAATGGGTGGTGGTAAGCTCTTGAGCTTTACATTACTCGATAAATTTTAGTAGTGATTTAGTTGCTTTCTTGAGCTTTATAGTGCAACTTTTCTTGTTTCTGAAGTACGTGCCAGCTCAATTTGCTAAGGATTATCTCCCGAAGTCTCCAAAGTATATTGAACTTCAAGATTCTGATGGTAAGAAGTGGAAGGTTCGTGTCAATTTAAGACCAAACTATCATACAGTGCGCGCTTTAAGCACAGGATGGGCAAATTTTGCGAAGGCAAAAAAAATCGAGGTGGGAGATACATGCGTCTTTGAAATCATCCCTGGCAATAAACCTGCTCTAAAGGTTTCAATATATCACAACACGGGCAGAGTCCCAAGACTTCTATGAATCATTCGGTAATGCGATTTCCTGTACCCCTAGAGGTAACAGCACTTTAACTGTGACAGATGAATCTAGTTACTTTAAGTAAGCTTGGGAATGATAATTGCGTTTTGAGAGAATATCAAACAATGTGATTAAGCAAAATATTGTTACAAAAGGCGGGCAACTTCTATTCAGTAGGGGGAAATCTGTGTTTTTACTCATACACATGCTTCACTGGTTTAGTAATATTATGGTGTACATTTTCTTAGACTAAGCCTCAAATTGCTTTAAGAAATTTATTCTTTTTAATAATTTTTCTGTGCGAAAATAAATTATTTTTCTCTGAAAAAAAAAAAAACACTCTTTCTTCATCCTTTCTTAATTGTAGAATTTAGTAAACTAACAAAAGGGATTGGCTTATAAATTTTTATATAGTCACACACAAAATCGCTTTGCTTAATAATTTCATGAGCTTAATGTTATAAACCCATAAAACAAAAGTGTTTTTTTTATCTCTTCTAATAATAGATACACCAGAGCCCCCAGATACAAGATACAACACAATACCAGATGGATTTCGAATTATTGATAGTTGTTAGATATAAATTGCATAGTTAAGCCAACTTACAGTTGGATTTGCTTGAATCCAACATCGTGCGATCGGTTACTATCGAGTTGCTCGTACTCGGGAGACAGCCTCGGTGGTGTCCGCTGTCTATCAAGAACCAGAGAAATACTTGCTGTAACCATCAAAATTGTTGCAAGTATCCAACTAAACTGTAAGTTGGCCAATGCTCTTGCCCTCAAATCCGCCTCTTGCGTTTCACATAAAACGGCCCCTAGCATGGTACCATTGGCACCGTTATACGACTCAGCAGTACATCCAAGTGGGACGAACTTATGAATCCATAACACAAATCCCATGTTAATAAGCCAACAACCTTGGAAAACAACAGAAACTGTAAGAACAAGTGATGCAGGAAAGCTTGTTGGGAAACAATTTGCAAATATTGCTGCCACAAGAGAAATGCAAACGATAAGCTGCAGCAGCCAATGGTAATGCCCTTCAAGTCCAACATGATCAGTTGAATGAAAATGAAGTAGGAAAAGTTCTTGTCCGAAAACCGAGGCCGCAAGAACTCCCGATACGCCTACCGGGGTATCAGACGAATTTTTGTATTCCAAGAAAAGAGTGTAACCTGCAAATATAGCTAGGTGGAGAAACATAGTTGCATGTTCAAAATTGTCTAGCTTGAAGGAAAACTGCATATATGGGAAGTCTATGATTTGCATTAAAATGGCAAATACTGAAAATGACAAGACAAGAATGAGTTCAATGTGTTCAAGTTTGCAAAGAGGAGTCTTCAAAGGGTACCAAAATCTCAAGATAAACTTAGTAGGGCCTTTAGTGTGATAAGCTCCGATGGTGTTTATGGTATGCCATAGACCAAGAAGGGCAAGGGCCAAACCAGGTACCAGATGGCCAAGAAAAGTTCCCATTGAAGTTTATTATTTAGAGATGATGATTGTGAGCACACCGCAGTGAATACCTACTTAAATACTTGATTGTTGTTCCACTAACTTTTTTAGGGGTATATTAGGTATTCCATTTATTTATTACGTTACGTAAAAGGAATTATCGTGAGGAAAATTTACGCTTCTGAGAGGCATCAAAAATACTTTGTACTCTTCTTTTTTCTTTTTTTTATTACTCTCATGAGAAGAGATTGTGGTTCATTTTACGAGACGTGTACCGTAAAATACTCCAACCGTTATTGACATCTTATCAATTATTTGGTTAGTTGTACTACATATACATAATGATTTATATACACATAATGCGGTGAGATATGATTAGATTAGAATTTCTTAAAAAAATAAAAATAAATAAATAAAAATAAAAAGATCATTTCCTACTCTCTTTTAAACACCTAATTTATACATAATTACGTACCTCTATTACGTACAAGTAGCATTATTCAGACTTGGTGCATGTTGCATGTGTTTTCCACAAACTAATGTCTGAATCATAGCCTTTATCAATAACTTACGGCGTTTCAATATTATTTTAAACAAAAGAAAAAATGTCCCATGATGAAACATAGCGGGTGCTGACAGAGAAAAGAACTAGATCAAAATCATTCATTGACTAAATGGATTTCACTTTTTTCTTTTTTTCTTTTTTATTTTTTTGCTCATCTAGATCTTTTAATCTACAATAATTAAATTCTCCATGTTAGTTTGATCTATCCCACTTCTTCTAGCTTGTTATAGTGAGATCGCATCATTTTTATGAACAAAAAACCTCTTTAAATTCATAAAAATAAGCCTCGACCACTTAAGTTGTCAACTTATTAAGAGTCATGCGCACTAGTCGTCACAGCCACTTAGCCTATGTTTGGATTTGTTTATATATAATTTATAGGCATTCTCGAGTCATTTTTTATCTACATATCGAGAAACCCACAAGCAATATACACATCCACCACTCATTTCTATCAATTTATATTTAAACGATTTATAAACACTTCCAAAACATGCTTTAAACAAAAACAGTGGACCACCAATCAGTCATTTATAATAGGACAGTGAAAGTCCATTATTGATTGGAAATTCAATAATTATTGCTAATCTATACATACAATCGAGAAAGAAAGATGAATGTGCAAAAGATCAAATAGATAAAAAATACATGGCATATGGACCTTACTTGCATGTAGTGGATAATGATACATCTCCAAATTACCAACGAAGAAAATAAGACATTTCCACTTCTTCAAGAAAACGTGTTGAGATTCCAGTATATAAAAGGAATATTACCTTCACTGAGTGTGCTGCATCAGATGGTTATTTGTGGAGTCCACAGTACCTGATCACTAAGATTAGAGAAAGTTAATTTGAAAGAGACAAAATTAGGTCCAGCCAAACAATGGTATAGGGTAGAATATTTGTCATAGTTTTAATTTTCAACTGGATAAGTCTTACTTAATAGATTGATAGGAACTTCATATATACTTTTGAAGTTTATAATAAAATGAGCCTCAATATCATAGTTACATAATGTAGATAATACCATAACTTAAATCTTATTTTACTATTTAGTAAAGTCATTTTTTATTTTTGTACAAATAAAATCTTTGAAAAACTTGAAATTAAAGTCAAATGAACCTTTTTTTTTTTTTAAAAATGATAATAATAAGCTAAAGTTAAATAAAAGACTTTTACAAAAAAAATAAAAATAAATACAAACTAACAAAGCGCTTCTACAAAAGACGAAAGAAATGAAGGAAAAAATTCAACTGTTTAGGAAAAAAAGGACTAGGTGCGAAACGAGGTGTTTTGCATGAGCTTGGAGCTTAGGCGCCGCCTAAGCGAGCTTTTTAGAACACTAGTATTGACACTTGTTGATCACGGACACACTACCCTAATTAAAGCATCCGTGTTACAAAGAGTAGATGTAGCTCTAAGAGTATGATATACAACAATCAGATTTTTACAACTCAAGGAGTAGAAGTTACAGAAGTCATGCAATAATAGACAACTCTATGCTAACCGTAGATCTTAATAAAAATATATTAAGACTCCAGAGATGCAAATAAGTAATTTTCAAGTATCACCACAATGTTACCAAATTGCACATAATTGAAAATAAAACTACCACAGAAATGTTATTGGTCATCCTTCCGGATAAGAGCTCTTCTACCGACAGAAGCACTAGAGCAAAAGACTTTCTAATTGATCCACAAATTGGGTTTGAATATCAGTACTTTACATTGTGTCCTGTGTTCATGAACCCTTTCAGCAAAGTTACGGATGCAAAGCTCTAAAGTTATTGCCATCGATAATTAACTAAATATATTTCATACTTCAGACTCCTACCCCCATCACGTTTCACATAAATACTAACACAACACTGACTTCAGGTTTCTGAAATCTCATAGAAGCTCACTTTTATACAAATACATATAACACTTGAAAAACTTAGTAAAGTTGCTCGCAAGCTACAAATATAGAGTAATGCTATGTACAAACAAAGTCGAGAACAATAATAGTCATTTCTAGCATGTTGGTTAAGAGAATACTCTCTAAGCAAATGCAAACTTAAGAGAGTTCAAACATAATCGACCCATACATAAGAGCACGTCTTGACACAACATGGATATATATAGAAATGCAAATGCAACGTCATAAAAATAAACGCATTGTATATCTGTAAATGTCTAATTATCATAAAAAATTAGAGTATTTATTGAGGAACAAAAGAGAAGTTGCTCAGTTGGACAGAGGATCAGCTGAACTGGAGTGTAAGGAGTTAGAAAACAGTACACATCAGCATGCCTGCAAGGAGTTGCCAGATCAACAAGTTGGAAATTATCTAGAAGAGAGGCAGCTAAGCATTCTAGAAGAAGGATAGAAGAAAAGTTTGTTATGAAATTGTTACCTGAGAGTGCATTTCACGTGCATTTGTATAGTGTATATTCTTTTCAGATTCTTTTTTTTATTCCTTTTCTTTTTTGTAGTATAAATACTCAAGCTATGTAATCATTTCAGTAAGGTGAAAGAAAGAAAATAATGAATACACAGTAGTCTTCCACTCTTTCTACATTCAAAATTCTTTTTCTGTGAATTTAAGTTGTTGCATATTCAAAAACTAACATAGTATCAGAGCAGGAGATGGAAGAATCAAGCAATCAAAACATTTCACCCCCAAATACTCCAGCCCCAAATGATGATCTGTGTCTAAATACCAACCAAAATCGGTCAGCTATCTCTGCTCATGATCCAACTCAGCATATAAGCCCTTTCTACATTGGAAGCAGTGATGGCTCAGGTGCAATGCTTGTCACTCACACTCTCGATTCAAACAACTATTATTCATGGGCTAGATCCATGAAAGGGGCTGTGCGCATTAAGAACAAGTTGGGGTTCATAGATGACAGTATTTGTGAGCCATCAGACCCCAATGACCTTCTAATTAGGGGTGGAACCCCATGAAATCAAAACCAAACCCTTGAATTGCGTCTTTCTCCATCTTTTGACTCGCGCTTGCTTCTCTCAAAACTCTGACTCGCAATCGTCGGCTACTTCTACTTCCAGTCCATCGGTGGTCGGGCTCTAATCTTCGACCCAATAAGTGTATCCGGTATCCCCAACTCCAAAGTCGAAACCCCAATCCTCTCCCATCGATCCGCAAGTCCGCAACTGCCATCACCTCTCGCTAGCTGCCGCCTGCGGCCTGCCACTTGCCAGGCCAACTAAAGAAAAGAAGCCGTAGGCAGTAGCCCCGTAGCCTTGAAGAACGATTGAACGAAGAAGGTGACTTACTGACTTTGATTTCAATTTGAGTTAATTTGTGTATTTATTGTTATTTCCAACTCCCTATTTCTCTCTGTTTACCATTCCTTTGGAATTTGAATTAGTTTGATATCCAACATTTCTGACCCTTTGTTCTGATTTGTATTTTTGCATGATGGGAAACAAAAGTAGTTCTTCGACAAGCAGACCAAATAAAAGCACTTGTAATTATCATATTCTAACTGCATTATCATATTTCATTTTCTGCAGATGTAGCTTCTATTTGCACCCATGTGAGGGTTCTACAGTGCAGATTCTCACACAAGGAAAACTTGGTGCCCCTCGCATTGTGAAATTGCGAATTGGAAGGTGAATTGATATTGTGAAATTGGATTGATAGTGTGAAATTGTGAATTGTCAATTAGATTGTGAAATAGTAAAAATTGCATTGTGAATTTGCGATTTGGAAGGTGAATTAATATTGTGAAATTGTGAATTCTGAATTAGATTGTGAAATAGTATAAATTGCATTGT